TAGGATTTGAAATCAGGGAGTGAGATACCTCCTACCGTTCTTCTATTCTTAAGGAGTGCTTTGCTTATTCGGGGCTTTTTTCCATTCCATACAAAATTGGAGATTGCCTTTTCCATCTCATTGAAGAATGTGGAAAGCTCTTAACCTGAATCTCAATAGGAAACCCTCCCATAAATCTTGTGCCACAATCAGGTGTTGTTGGGTCAGCCTGACTCCTGGGAGTGCACATGCGTCAGAGTAGAATTATACTTCCCACACTGGTTAATTATTTGGCCGTAGGTTGCCAGGCCTTTCTTCTGAGACACTCTGACTCAAACCTCTGACCTTTTGATTAGAGACTGAGCACACAAGTATCTCTACTTCCCAGGAACTCCAGTGCTTGGCTCATACTCTGTGACTTTGAACAACAGGGAGATGGCAGTGTTCCTGGCCTAAGGTACAACCAGGAAAATTGAGGCTCAGAGGGGTACAGTGCCATGACTATGGTCCCATAGGTAGACAAACCCACTGCCATCAAGTTAAATCTGACTCCTAACAACTCTCTATGGGGTTTCAAGGCTGTAAATATTTATGGGGGAGGGGAACTATCCATTTTTCTCCAATGGAGCAGCTGCTGGATTCGAACCACTGACTTTTTGGTTATAAGGCCAACAAGTAACACACCGGTAAGCCACCAGAGCTCCTTACAGGTAGATGGCAACACTAGAATGAAAACTCAAGGTTTTAGAGGACAAATCAAAAGCCTTTCCCATGATCTGGAGCAGCGTAGTCCTCCCTGCAGGGAGATAAGGCAATGAAACAGACTTGACCCTGTGGGCCTTTGGGCACAGGCTGGCACCGCCCTGAGGCCGCAGGTCCTAATGCTCCTCCACTTAATGTGGCACTGTTCCTTTAATGAAGCAGTGGACAAGGGAAAGGCTGGGTGTTGTGTGTGGTTCCTCCGGCTCAAGTTTCCTGTCCTCTGGGAAGTCTCAGCCCAGAGTGGCTCTGGGGTGGGCTGACAGGAGCAGTGGATGCCTGCTCTGCCATTCTTGCCAGTGCCGGGAAGCTCTAGGGCACAAGGACTGGCTGCCATCCCAGAAAACACAGATCATTGTCTGTCCTGGCCTGTCCTTGAGCTCTGTCCCATGACAGGGCCCTGAGGCGGTCAGCAGACCTCCCTTGTGTACTCAGCCAGCGCAGAGAACTGGTCCCCAGGCCTGGGAGAGTCTCCTGTAAGGTGGGGCTCTGGGCTCCATTCTTCTGACCCAGCTCTGCAGGACAGGCGCCTGTGTCAGTGGCTCCCCAAGCCAGGCCTTGAGTTCCCCAAGGGCAGCTGGGGCTGCATTTCAGAGCAGAAGGCCAGCCTCTGGGGAGCTCAAAGGAAGGACTTTGTTTTCAGGGAAAGAGTCAGGGCATGGGTCATCTCCCCGTCCCTGTTGAGTAAGTAGTTCCAACATGGCCTAACTCCAGTGCCTCTCTGCCAGGGCAGGGGTGACCGGTCTGCTCTCAGGGGGCAGCCTGGAGGCTTCTGGGGGTTTGTTGACAGGGCTGAAGCCAGCCCCTCCCTTGAGTGACTGAACTGCCTGGGGCCTCAGCAACACTGTGTTTAGTCCAGATCGCCCTGGAAGACTTTCTCAGCCTCACAGTTGCCAGCAGGAAGGCTTTCTATCCCCCACAACAGGTGGGGTTGGAAGGAAGCCTGGCTTGGAGAACAGTGGGGTCTGAAAAAGCAAGGTGGTCTTGTTTCCAAGTCTGGGCAGAGGTCAGCTGGTTGTACAGTCAAGGAGCTTTAATCAGATCAACACCACTCGGATTCTTTTGACTACCCAGTCCTGTTCTTAAGATGGTGTGATGGTTGTGTAAAGGGTGAGGGAATGAGCCAGAAGGTGGCCATTTCCTCATTACTGTTGGTTGTGACAGGCTTCGGCCACCCACCAGCAGGATTTCAGAGCCTGTAAATCACACCTGAGGTGATTGCCAGTCTGTGCAGCCGCTGGTAGAGTCCAACCTCCAGTACCACCTCCCTACAGACTACAGCACCAGAGCTCCCTGGTTCAGAGTGGTGATGCACAGAAAACTATCAAGGGCACTGGGCACAGAAAGGCTCACCTCGGTTACTTCCAAATAGTCTCTCAGCTCAAGTGGTTCTTCTTCTTCCTCCTCCTCCTCTTCCTCTTCCTCTTCAAGTTTCTGGTTGTGCTGTCTTCTTAGTAGAGAATGATTGTATGTGAAAGCCATTTGCTGATGATGACACAACCCTGCTTGCTGAAAGTGAGGAGGACGTGAAGCACCTGCTGCAGAGGGTCAAGGAATGCAGCCTTCAGTATGGATTGAAGCTCAATGTCAAGAAGACAAAGATTCTCACCACTGGACCAATTGGCGGCATCAGGATGTATGGTGAAGAGATTGAGATTGTTAACAACTTTAGTCTGCTTGGCTCCACGGTCAACACTCTTGGCACCAGTAGCCAGGAAATAAAAAAACGTATTGTGATGGAAAAGTCTGCTGTTAGAGACCTCTCCAGGGTACTGAAGAGCAATGGTGTCACTCTAGAGACTAAGGTGCATCTGATACAGGCTATGGTTTTTGTAATCACTTGTTATGCATCAGAGAGTGGAACAATGACTAAGGAGGATAGAAGAAGAATTGATGCCTTTGAGCTGTGGTGCTGGAGAAGAGTATTGAATGTACCCTGGACTGCCAAGAAAACAAACAGATTCATCCTAGAGAGGGTTAAACCAGGCTGCTCCTTGAAGGCAAGGATTCTGAGGCTTCATCTGACATACTTTGGACATGTTGTAAGGAGGGAGAGGTCCTTGGAGAGGGACATCATGCTTGGGAGGGTGGAGGGACAGCGCAGGAGGGGAAGACCCTCTATGAGGTGTATTGCTTCAGTGACTGGGGTAATCGGGATGGGTGTGTCAGAGGCAGTACGATTGGCACAGGATAGAGTAGGGTTTAGGGCTGTTGTACATAGGGTTGCTATGAGTCGCAAGTGACTCGATGGCACAAAACAACAACAACAACATAAAGACAAATACTGTATAAGACCACTATTGTAGAATGAGTACAAGGATCCAGGCCAGGGAGGGGGGAGCAGAGGACTGAGGATGGACGGGGTGGGGTAGGGGGAGGCTTAATCATAGGTTCGCATAATTTGATGGCTGGACAGAGGTGTGGATATAGGAAGGGGGAAAGATCTGGTGTGAAAAACAATGTAGACAAATTCAGTAAGTAAACCAGTATAAAATTAAAAACAAAACAAAACAAAAGGCTCACCTCTTCCCATCAGTCGGCCAGAGATTGACTCAACCTTCTTATCTGCTCATTGGGAATGTTAAAGATGTCTCACTAGAAAAATCAACAAGGGTGATGTGCACGATGACGGCTCCATGCTGGTTCTGAGGTCTCTGGGGAAAGGGCTGGGACCCTCACCCCGGGGGGCCCGGGCAGCTGCAGGGCTCGCGCACCACGCCGCCCACGAGGGGGCGCGCGCGGCTCTCCCAGGCCTGCGGTCGGCGGGAACCCCTGGGTGGAGGGGGCCCAGTGGCCTGCCCGCCCCTGTCCGTCCCCAGCACCCAGGGCGCACGGCCCAACAGGACCTTCCATCCCCTCTGCCCACCCTCTCCCTTCCCGGCCGCTGGCAGACGTTCAGAGGGCCGAGGAGGAGGCCCGGCTGCCAGGAAGGGTGGGGTTGCCAGGCATGGCCCAGCCGCAGGGTGACCCGGCCAGTCCCGGAAACCCTCCAAACCTGGGGCCTCCGTCGCACATCCGGCGCCACGGCGGGGTGGCGGCGGGCTGTCAGGGGGACTGAGGGCGTGTGGGATGACTCTGAGGTCAGGCCGCTGGAGACTTCCAAGAGGAGGAAGGAAGAGCCTGTTTAATCCTACCCAGGGGTCAGAGAGCTTCGTGATCCGCCCAAGGAGTTAGCCAACATAGCACAGCAGCCTTCAGAGAAAATGCTATTCTATCCCTGGATGCTGCCATCAAGCCATGCATCTACCCTGGATTTATTAACTTAAAGATGATAACTTTAAGGGGGGGAAAAGGAAGAAACAAGATTAGCATGGCCCTCCCAAACCTGAAGCCAAAGCAAAAGTATTCAAGGTCAAGAAGGTGTTGAAAGAGATCCGCAGGGAACATACACACGAAAAGAAAATCCACAGCCATCCACTTTACAGCTGTCCAAGACAATGGACCTCCAGAGACAGCCCAAATAATGCCAGAGGAGGACTTCCAGGAGAAATAAGTTTGATCACTGTGTCATCAAAAAAATTCCTCTTGACCACTGAGTCAGTCATGAAGATCAAAGAACAACAGATTTGTGTTCAATGTGGATGTCAAAACCCATGCTTAGCACCTGGCCGACACCCTGTGAAGGCATACAAACGGGGCCTGCTAGATTTTTTTTGGGGTGTCATTCTCATTGATTGGTGAATGAGAAGGCATAGAATATGTGAAGGGACTTAATTCTGAGCAGATTGTTGTTGTTATGTGTTGTTATGTGCCACTTGTGACTCATAGCGACCTTATGTACAACAGCTCTGAACCCTGCTCCATCCTGTGCCAACCTTATTGTCTCTGACACATCTAACCTCATTACCTCAATCACTGAGTCAATCCATCTCATCCAGGGTACTCTTCTCCTGTGCTGTCGCTCCCCCCTCCCAAGCATGATGTCTCTCTCCAAGGAACAATCCCTCCTTGCAACATGTCCAAAGTATGTCAGATGAAGCTTCAGAATCCTTGCCTCCAAGGAGCAGCCTGGCTTCACCCTCTCCAGGTCGAACTTGTTTGTTCTCCTAGCAGTCCATGGTATATTCAATACTCTTCTCCAGCAAAACAGTTCAAAGGCATCAATTCTCCTTCTATCGTCCCTAGTCATTGTCCAGCTCTTAGATGTATAGCAAGTAATTGTGAAGACTATGACCTGGGTCAGGGCACCTTAGTCTAAAGACTGATATAGTTGCTCTTCAGAACTCTGGAGAGGTCCCTGACAGCAGACTTTCCCAATGCAATTAATCTTTTAATTTTCTGGCTGCTGGTACCAAGAGTCTTGATTGTGGAGTCAAGCAAACTAAAGCTGTTAACAATCTCCATTTCTTCACCATCTATCCTGATGCCGCCAATCGGCCCAGTGGTGAGAATCTTTGTTTTCTTAATATTGAGCTTCAATCCATATCGAAGCCTTGACCTTCTGTAGCCAGCGCCTCAAGTCTCTTCAGTTTCAGCAAGCAGTGTTGTATCATCTACATAATGCAGATTGTTGATGAGTCTTCCTCCAATCCTGATGCCACATTCATAGTAGGTGCATAATCAATTTGAGTCTGAGGCCTCGTTTCCTACTTTTGACCTGATGTATCTGTGCTCCTGAACATGGTCTTTCCTCAGCTCCCCTCAGGCCAGGCTGCTGAGACCCCTGAGCCTGGAGGGGAGAGAAGTGCTGATTCTCTGAGTGTCTTCTCCTGTTCTGGTTGCCCTGGGAGACACCTGCTTTCCTTGGGGAAGTTGCTGAAGAGCCCTCTGCTCCTGCTCTGATGGAGCCAACAGGACCTTGAAGCATGGATAGGGTTGGGTCACATTGCTCATAGATGTGCGATATACTGACTGTGTCATACCATTGGAACAAGCCACAGTTGGAAGGGTCTTATACTAGACAGCAGGGGCTTTAGGGGGTTAAGCCCATTCCCCCTGACTCTCTTGGTGACCATTATTCCACAGGGCTGCCTCTTCATTTAAAGACAGTCGAGGGCCTGGCCCTTTTCTGAGTCATCTGACCTGTGTGCTGCGTAAACTCTTTCTCCCACTGGTCAGGTCAGGACTGTCCCCTACTTTCATCATTTTAGTCCCCTCAGAGGTGAAGCCCCAGAAAAGGGGAAAGGATGAGGAAGGATCCTGGCTCTCACCAAACTCACATTGGTGTAGAGGGAAACAGTCCATTCCAGAAACGTCAACAGTTACAAAGTTGTGGGTAGATGTGAAAAGGCTAATAAGGGGTGGGAAGTGGACAGCATCCACCATGGGAAACTGAATGATGTGGAGTTTCCAGAGTCCAGGGTGACAGGGTCTCTCGCAGGAGATGAGATCATGGAAGTGATGCCTCCAGTAAAAAAAGGAAGGGGAGAAGTGGGACTCTGCTTTTTACTCTCCTGCCACCCAGAGGGCTTGGGAGCTAAGGAGATGTAGCCTTCAGGGATCCTGTGAGTGAGATGCGGCAGGGAACTGAAGGGAAACCAGCAAACAGCCTCCTTAATATTTAAACAGTCAAACCCTTGGAAAAGACTGTTGTTGTTGTTATGTGCCATCAAGCTACCTGCAACTCATAGCAACCCTATGTACAACAGCCCTAAACCCTGCTCTGTCCTGTGTCAATCTCACTGTCGCTGACACACCTACCCCCATTAGCCCAGTCACTGAATCAATCCACCTCATCGAGGGTCTTCCTCTCCTGCGCTGTCCCTCCACCCTCCCAAGCATGACGTCCATCTCCAAGGACTGGTCACTCCTTGCACCATGTGCAAAGTATGTCAGACAAAGCTTCAGAATCCTTGACTCCAGGAAGCAGCTGGATCTCACCTTCTCTAGGACGAACCTGTTTGTTCTCTTAGCAGTCCATGGTATAGTCAATATTCTCCAGCACCACAGCTCAAAGGCATCAATTCTCCTTCTCTCATCCCTAGTCATTGTCCAGCTCTCTGAACACATAGCAAATAATTGCAAAGACTAAGGCCTGGATCAGACTCACCTTGGTCTCCAGAGTGACATCATTGCTGGAAAAACTTTACTAATAATCCCAGATCTTCTCTCTGTTACTGCTCTTGTAGTCATTGCCGTCATATCAGAACTCACTCACAGCTGACCCTCCAGTGGGTGTTGAAGGCTGTAAACCACAAGGGAGGAAACTTTCCATCTTCCTTCCATGGAGCAGCTGGTGGATTTCAATTGTTAGAGAGAAGGGACCTGCAGGTCAGCAGTGCAACTCCTTATAGTTCACTCCACCAGAGTGCTGATGTTCCTAACAAGCTACTAACACCCCCTGCACAAGGTAGAATGAAACTTTGTCCAGTTTAGACATCCCCATGGTGCTTTGGTTGCTTAATGGCAAAGAATTGCGCTATCAGTGCAAAGGCGTATGGTTCGAATCCATCAGATGCTCTGCAGGAGAAAGATGGGCAGTCTTCTCATGTGGGATTTATTTTCTCTGAAAACCTGCTGGAAGGTCAGCTAAAGGTCAGTTCCAACTTGATGGTACACAACAGTAACAACATGATGGGCTTGGGATGGGACCAGTAATGATCAATAGGATTTTCAGAAGTGGATAGCCAGGCCTTTTCTCCTACTCATTCATTCTCCCTTCTGGGAGCGAAACAAGGAGAAAAGACGAATGCTGTGGATGAAGATCTGTTTTTGTGCATTCTTTTCCCCCAGAGGATTTGGGAACCTCCTGTGCTTAGCGAAGTCTTGATTTTGACCACACTATCAAGCTGCATGGACCTCAAGTGCTGTGGCTGGCAGTCAGACAGACCGAGGCCCCCAGGAGAAAGGGGCCCTGGACTCAGAGTCTGGAGCCCAGAGGGTGAGTCTCAGACAAGTCACTTCCCTTCCTTTAAATACAGACTACTTGCATTTTCTAGGACTTCATGGATGTGAGGGGTAGTGCAAGGGCGATTAGTAGACAACACTGTGTTCAGCTGTGACGGGCTGCACCTGCAGTCACATACCATCCTGGGAGAGCCTTTTGGCTTTGTTTTGTAGTCATTATCACATCAACGTCCCCTCAGAGTGGGTAACTGTAATCAGTGCCTTACAAGCAGAGAATGAGAGACAATTGGATTCAGATGTCAGCTTGTTCAAACTCTCCTCGAAAGGAAGGTTCTGTTCCCCAAAGCACGCAAGGGCCGTTTCCCCTTTCTCCCTGCTTCTCCTCTTTCTTCCACAAATATTCCCAAACACTCACGCTTTGCCAGGCACTCTGCTGGTTGCTGGGCCTACAGCAGTGGTGGGATTTGTCCTGCAGAGTTTACAGTCTTTGCAGACACTCTTGAATATCTCTAGTAACAAGGTACCCTCTACCTCCTGGGATAGCCTGTTCTGTGTGGCCATTCTTGCTGGCTGATACAGAATTTCACCTGCTATAATGCTCAGCCTGACACCTGAGGCTGTGTAGGGCAAGTCTGTCCCATTTCACACTAGATCCCCCTGTCCAGGCTCCCTCTCCAGTCTGTACTGTGGAAGAGAAGCCGATCCTCTGGGATGTTAAATTTCTCAAGGTCATGAGGTCAGAACCAAGGTGGCCTGTACTTTGGATACTTGGGCTCTGTCCTCGTTCTGCCTGGGTCAGAGGGAGGCCGTGTGGTAGACACTCATGAAGAAACATAGGGTGAAGGTTTGCAGGTGGCGAGGGAGGTGTGCTGTGAGGAGAGGGGGATCCATCAGCCTGAAGTGTGTGGGGTGTGAGGCATGGTCTGGCCATCTGCCCGGGACAAGCTTGTGCTCAGGGTTTCTGGTCTGATTCACAGCTTCCTCTCTCCCCTAAGGAATCCTCTTTATAGCTCTTGCAGCCTGACCCCAGTGTCCCTGTGAATGTCGACTGACAGCTGCACTGAGCGCAGCGGCGGCTCCTCAGTTGGTGCCAGCTGGACGTGCTTGGCGGCCGGGGCCCTGGGAGCCACCTCCCGGGATGTCAGAGGAGAGCTGCCGGCCGCCCTTCCGTCAGCAGGAAGCCGAGCCACAAACACTTGGACAGGAAGCCGGAGCGCTGGCCAGCTGAGCGAGCTCTGGTTTCTCTTGCGTCTGGAGGGTTTGGCCCAGGGTGGAGGAAGGCGAGCCAGGTGCGGTGGGCCGGACTGACAGCCTGGGCTCCCCCTCAGTCCTGGGATGTGAGTTCAAGGGCGGAAAAGCATCATGGAGGCTGGGGCACAAGGAGGTGCTTCCTGGAGGAAGGGTGAGGGTGCTGGGAACACGGCTTTGACCCAGGCCGGGCCAGCTGGCTGAAGAGATGCCAAGACCTCTTTGTGAGGCTTCCAGACAAAATGTGTTCCCTTGGGGCCAGTCCTGTGGTGCAAACCCAGGCCAGCTTCAACCTCCAGCCGGCCTCCACCTCCAGGAAAACATCTTGTGGGGTGGGATGTCCACACGTTCCCAGCTGGAAGAGTGACTCCTCTCCAGGGAGGCCTCTTTCATAACCTGCAGGCTGTATCATGAGCGAATTAATAAAAAATAGTTTGCTCAGCCAAGAACAAAAAAGGGGCTTTGCATCCAGGGCTGATAGTTTTGCTCCTAAGTTCTGCATGTGTCTGTCTTCACGGCCGTTCCTGCCATGTGTACCCTGCTGTGACTTCTGGGGCACTCACACTTTCCACAAGCCACACACAGCGTTGTCCCCCTCCACTCAGGTACCTGTCTTTCACATATGCTTCTTATAACCTGATAGACAGCAAGACTGATGGTTTGTGTCTGGGGACCAGGAGGGAATGGATTTGCTCAAGGTCACAGAGCTCAGCAGTGACCTGGCACTGGCTTCTGCTTCTCTGGAGGGATAGCTCTGATGTTACACTTTGCAGGGGCCTGATTGTCCCCCACCCTTGATGTAGTCCATGCACTCAGACCAGGCACACAGGGCTGGAGCGAACTGCGCATGTCCCACGTGTCAAAGCCAAGTTCAAGCACTCCTCCTAGGTGAGTCCTGCCTTTATTTGTGCCTTTTTAATAATCCAGATTTTAGTGCAGTGGGATTTACAACCTCGTCTTTGGGCATGTTGTAAGGAGAGGTTGGTCCTTGGAAAAAAAGACATCATGCTTTGTAAGGTGGAAGTCATCGAAAGAGAGGAAGACCCTCAACAAGATGGATTGGCACAGCCACTTGTTAAATGGGCTTGCGTGTATTGGAGATGATGAGGATGGCACGGGACAGGGCAGGGTACAGATCTACTGTTCATACTGTCCCATGGGTTGTGGTCAACTTGATGGTACCCAGCAACAAACCCTGCTGGAGGATCAGCTAGGAGTCAGTTCTGACTCAACAGCAGTGAGTCGAATTGAGTGGACAGTTTCTGTGGAAGAAGGTGCACCAGTGGTGCCGTGACCAAGGCATTGGGCTGCTGATAGAAACATCTGCTTCACTGAATACTTAGAGCCTTGGAAAGCCTCAGGGCAATTCTACAGGCTCACTATGAGTTGGGAGGACGCGATGGCAGTTGGCTAGTCTTGGGAGAGCCCCTGAGTGGTACAGAGGGTTAATGTGCTTAGCTGTTTACCTGAGATGGTGGAGATTTGAGTCGGTGCTAAAGAACCTCAGAAAGGCCTGGTGATCCACTTTATTATTATTTTTTTAAATCAACCACTGAGGATGTTGGGGAATCACAGTTCTGTTCTGATATGCACGGGGCCACAGTGAGTCTGAGTTGACTCAGCAGCTGCTGTGGTTCAAACGCCAAACCAGGGCTGCCATTTTCACAATTGCTGCTTTTGGGTCAAGTCATCTTGCCCTTGCTGGTCCTCTCCTTTACCAAGCAGACTGTTCCACTGTAGAGCCTGATCCCTCCAAATGACAAGCCCAAAGCAAGCTGGTTTGTCTTTAGGTTTGAGGAGCCACAAAGTTTTCATTGTCCAGTTTTCAGAGAGAGATCTTAAAATCTTTCTTCCTAGTCTGTAAACTCTGCTGAAACCTGTCCACCAAGGGTTACCCTACTGGTATGTGAAATACCAGTGACATAGCAACAACTGAGCCACCACAAGGTGACAAACTGACAAACGAGTGCTGGCTTGAAAATGCACTATCATGTGAATCTCGGCGGTCTTGCAGAAATGTCCGCAGGTGGTTCTCCTGTCAGTGTCACCCCACCGACTGTGTTCAGAACAGGTCCCTTCATCTCAACCCACCACTGCTCAAGAAAGAGTGCCATCATTCTAGATGCCAGGCCAGAAACCCCAAAGCCATCTCTAACAGACCTGCTAACCTCTACCCCGGAACTGCTGGTATTAGGGGCTGCCAAGTCGACTCACAGTGACCCTGTGACCAGCAGATCTGAACAGAACATTACACTCTCCTGCACCATCTTCCTCATCTCTGTTGCCCTCAATCCCACTGAGATAGTTACCACACCAATTCATCTCATTGGGGTCTTCCTCTCTTTTGCCAATGCTCTATTCTTCCCAGCATGATCTCTCTCTAAGGGCTAGACTCTCCTGAAAATATACCTACTGTAACTGAGAAGAAGTTTCACCACCTTTGCCTCTGAGGACCACATAGGTTTCACTTCCTTCAAGACAGACTTGTTTGTTCTTTTGGCAATCTGTGGGATAGTCAATACTCTTCTCCAGTACCACAGTTCAAAGGCATTGATTTTCCTTTGTTGTTAAGTGCTGTTGAGTTGTAGATGACTCATAGCGACCCTATGAACAAAAGGCCTGGACACTTGTATAACTTTCTTCTTTTCTCCAGGTTCATAGGGTTTCTGGAGGCAAGCTATTTCAGAATTGGATGCCATTCCTGCTTCCAAGCTTGTTTTAATCAGGGAATTCCACCAAACACTGTCCACCATGGGTAACCATTATTGAATCTGACATATCAGTGTCACAATGTTCAGCTTCACAGCCACCATGAGTTACCTGTGTACGACAAGTGGACAGACCAGGGCTATATGACCTAGAAGAATGTTTGACCAAAACCAATTAAAAATAGGCCCTTGGGCCCTACAGGATTTTAAAGTCACACCCTTGAGCAGGCCTCTGCCTCTGCCCCCAGTCAGAACAGTAACACACAACAAATGGACCACAGATACTTCTCTTGCCTGACTGCCACCAAGGTGAGACCACCACCATGATGTCAGCCAGCCCGCCAACTTTCAGAGTGGAGGGAGACTCCACATCCTTATTCGTTGTTTAACTTTCAGATGCACAGGACACAATTGAAAATAATACAGCTTGGATCAGGCACCCCTTAACTTTTGATCTGACATCCTTGCTAGTCTTTCACGTTGCTGTACTGTGGCAGTTTGCGTGTTACTGTGATGCTGGAAGTGGTGCACCAATATTTTCAAATACCAGCAGGGGCAGCCATGGGGGTCAGCTTTCAGTGGAGCTTCCAGACTAAGACAGACTAAGAAGCAGGATTGGTCACCCATTTCTGAAGTCCTATGTCTTTGAAAACTCTATGGACGATGATGGAACTCCAGAAGTAGCAGTCATCAAAGCAGCCCCCACCTCCTGTACTCTGCCACCTGGTCACAGTACTCTGGCTGTGCTGTTGTAATACCTGCTTCCCGTGGCTCTCAGTACTACCTGTGTACCCTCTCTGCTAGTAGATTTATGCTTCAAAATACAAACCTGGTCTTACTCTGCTTTGCTTCTAACATCTTGAATGACTTCTCTTTCTCAATATACTAATTTCTTCTGTGTTGTCTCCAACAACTAGGAGAAGCAGCACTGATTATCTTGTATCACAGATAGATTACATTGATCACAACTTCATTAAAAAAAAAATATACTAATTTCTCAGGCCAGAACTGGTCTCCATTCGTTCCAACACTGGTCTTAACTGGTCTTTGCAGCCTCATCCCTTTGAGTTGTTTGCTTGTGACACGTTACAGTTTTTCCACACCATCCGTACTCTATACATTTCCATCTCTGTACACTTTTTTTATACTGTTATCTGCCTTTGCCCTGATCCTCAGAATTCCCATCTCCCTCAAGATATCACGAAATAGTACCCTGTGGCCTTGGAGTTTTAAACATTCTTTTCAAAGGTTCCAGGTTATAACTTAGCTCTGAGAAAATATATATATTAATAGTAAAATATTTAAGTTGTCTTTTTTTTTTTACTTAGAGCAACATAACATATACTTTTATCCAAAGCCTCCTCTGATGTGTTAAAAATATCTAAGTGCTAAATTGGAGGTCAATAAACATAAGATCACCCTCCCAGAAGGGCAGCTGTCAAGAGAAGTAAAGATGCCTTTGACTAAGCAGCAACTCTAGCATCCCTCCCATGTCAAAGACAGGATGCCTTCTGGCAGGAGGAGACCCCAGGAGAACCTGTCATGATCTTGCAGGCCCCTATTGTGATCACTTATGAGCCCCACCTGAACAGAAGCTTATAGCTAGCCTCCTGCAACTTCAAAGACCTTAGAGCTGAGAATTTGGAACGAAGAACAAGGCCCTCCGGTTACAGGAAGGCCCGGAAGGGTGGAAAGTCACGTTGGTGTTCTCATTGGTAAGTCTCCTTGTCCTTGGCCATGTCTCAAATGCAAACATCCATGGCTGGTCTACCTGAGTCCTCTGCTGGCTTCTCCCCACATGCCCCTTCTCCAGGCCCTCATATCACTCCTCCACAAATAGGGGTTCATAAAATCCCGTCTGCTCTTTATGCTCCCCTGGGAATGGCGAACCAGGAGCCCTGTTTCATGCAGGCTGATTGAACTCTTACACCCACCAGTTTGCATACCAGAGTTAATTAGTTGGGTTTCCTTTCTGCTTGCCGACTGAAACTACAAAGATTTTTTTTCCCATGGAACAATGTATAACGTTGCAATTCTCAACATCAACAAATCTGAAACCTTGAGCAAAAGCAATAAATGCTTTTTAAAAAATGAAGGAAAAGGTATTTGATTTTGCTTAAAATCTGTCATAACTAACCTTTCCAGTATAAATGTCCTGTTCTGTTTTGAAGCAAACTCAAAACTCAAATGTACAGCTTTTGAGGCAGAACCAACTCATAGCTGACTCTTTGGTGGGTTTCCAAGGCTGTAAATCACAATGGAGTAAATTGCCCATCTTTCTTCCATGGAGCCGCCAGTGGCTTCAAACTGCCAGAGATATACGTACCACCTTTGGGTGAGCAACACAATTTCCTGTGGACTAGGCCACCAGAGCTCCCTTGCTTAGAAGCAATGAAGTATAATCGATAGAAAAGGAAATAGAAGACTTCTGCCTTAAGTGAGAAATGGGAGGAGATCAACTCCTCTCTCTTTTAAAAAATACTTCTTCTAACCCACCTAAAACTCTGGGATCATTAGAAAAAATACTGCTATGTTAAATTTCTATGTTGTTGTTGTTGTTATATACCATCGAGTCGCTTGTAACTCATAGTTACGCTATGTACAAGAGTCCTAAACACTGTTCTATCCTGTGCCAACCTCGCCGTCTCAAATGCACTCCTTCCCACCACACCACTCACAGAATCGATCCATCTCATTGAAGGTC